AAGCCAATGGGGCATGACAGAGCAAACTGGCTCCAGTTCAGGCGATGTCAGGGCTGCAATTAGCCGTCATGGTTGATAAAGAAAATTGAAACAAAAACTGAAGTAGCCGAGTGATATTTTCATGTTTCCTTGTCTCCATGTCTGCTTCACATATTAAAGTACATATAACAATACTGATCCGCACCCTTCTCCTCCATACCAAAGGAAAGCCACCAGATCGATAAGAGGCTTACTCCACAGTCATAATGTACTATGGGGGATTAGATTGGTATAGAGCAGGACTTTCACCCCAGCCAGACTGGCTAGCAGCTCCAGTTGTACTGCCAGTTCCAAAGCTTCATGGTGGGTACTGCCATTACTGCAAGCAGTACCAGGATGAAGGCCCATTGGACCCCTTTGTTGGATGGGATGAGGCAAGTCAAAAACATTGGGTGGGGAGGCTTCAAATATCTTAGTAATAAGCCCTCCTAACTATTCTATCTGCAGCAAACACACCCTTAATTTGATTCTCAGGACCAACCCACTGAAAGTTCCAATCCAGTTCTTTAGGTTCTCCAACCATCTTTCAAACCTTGTCTTCATCCAGGAAATCTCTCTCCCTTACAAGACCACTACATCCAAACTACGAGGTCCTTCCCTCCACCATATCTCACTGCACTTAAACACCAAACTTCCAGGACCCACAACATGGCACCACAGAATTCAACACAGAGAGACCACTTGTCTTGGTCACAACTGCACAAAGCTGACTAGAGCACACCACCTTTAAATAATCATGAACTAGGTGCCATAAGACTCTTTCCCATTTTCCAACTTTTTGTAGAGAGGACTTCACTGAAAATGGTTCTATATTAATGAGTCTTCATGACATACAAATCTATTACAAGCATGAACCCCGCACCCTTACCAAAACAGAAAAGGCTGGCATAATCATCCTTGACTATCTCTCTATTTCAATCTGCTGTCACGAAATTGAAATTTCACAACCGATGTAATTCAGCCATCTCGCAAGCCTTATTTTACCGTCCTTAAAATCACCCTAATGGCTCCTGTCTATCAAATATTTCAACAGAGAAAACTTCTACTCATCCAATTCTGGATGTTAGACAAGCAACTGAACAACATAGAGTCAGATGACGAACCAAGACGTAAAATTGAGGTGGAGTTTGATACTGGTAACACACAGCTGGTCAAAGATTATACAAGCAAACAATTTTGCCTGTTCATCCTATTTTTCCCCATACAAGAATATTCTTTCCCACTCTTTTCATTCTTTATTGTCCCACATTCATATTTCTTTAAATATTTGCTGTTTCTGCTCTTTCATTCCAGTTTCCATCTACCATCTTAGAAGTGGGAGCAAATTTTAAAAAGAAAGGACTGAATTTCTCAGCCTCTGAATGACATGGGCAAGATAGATGGGAAAACATATCAAGAATGAAGAATGAGATTCCTGAAACTGAGAAAACAAAATTAGCTGATTTTATGCTTAAGGTTTCAAACATCCAGATGAGAATCTCACCAGTGAGCAGTATCTGCAAGCATTAATAAATCATTGTAACTGCATCCCGACTCATTTATACACAGATTGCTTTTTTTCCCCAGCTAGTGAATTAGAAACCAGATGGCACCAATTCTCAACTTAAAAGTCAGAGTGGTAGCATGGCATCTATAGTTCTCTGAGTATACAACTTAGCCATCATTTCTTGACACCTCAGAGCACAATCCATGGACAGCAACTACTTGCATTCTCTGTTCAACAAGTTGGCATTGACAAAGCACCAGCCTCATAGTATCACCTTGGCACACCGAGGACTTGTTTATAATAGACTTCAGTACTTTAACATTGCACTTTGGAACTCACTGGTGCATGACAATGCAATGCTGCTGCCAGGCCACTTTGTGTCTCATGCATCGGAACAGGGTGCACCTCAGGGCTCTTAGCTGGTTGTCTCAGCGCTCACTCACTTTGCATTTACTTGGATGCTCATGGCAAGGCAGAAATGCTTTGCAGCACAGACAAAACCAGACAGCTTGTCACATTTCCCAAAAACCAGTAGACAATTTGGTGTATGGCACTGTCATATCATTGTTACACCTACAGCATGCTACAACAGATTACACAACGAACACACTACATGTGCTTCAACCAAATGGCCATGACTGAAATCTAAAGGAGCCAGTGCTCAGTCCAGGAAGGACACGATGGTCAGTTAGGGGGCTGGCCCATCCTCAGTCCTGGGAGTTAGTAGAAATCAGAGGTTTGGAAGGATTAGGAGTTTAGAGGGATGAGGGGGGTCAGAACTATTCAGGGAATATGCTTTTTGCAACGGTGACAGTGGAGGACCATGAGCCTTGGTGGGAGGTGGGTGCAATGGCAGAATTTGAGTAAGTGTGGGGTAGCAAAAAGAAGGTGATGGCACTTACATAGGCGGAGCACAGAAGGTCATTTACCTTCTTATAGCATTGCTGCACATCCCTCTGCATCATGGGCACTGCAGTGCCCCAGGAAGCAAGTTCAAGTCAGTCTAGCAGCATTTGAACTGCGTAGCTAGGGCTACAAGGCCCTCCTGCACCAGTGAGCAGTGTAAAATTACATGGCCAAAGTCACATGGAATTACAATATTTAAAAGGCATCTGGATGGGTATATGATTAGGAATAGCTCAGAGGGATATGGGCCAAATGCCGGCAAATGGCACTAGGTCAGATTGGATGTCTGGTTGGTGCGACCAAGTTGGACTGAAGGGTCTGTTGTCATGATGCATCACTCTATGCCTCTCCAAAATACATACATACTCACTAAGTGAAATCCTCCATGAAACTTCCCAAAATTGACTGAATTTGCCAAAAATTTGGTTGTCAATAATTTTTAGTGGCTGATATTTAACCTGGAATTGTATAGCCAAAAATACAACAGACATCTTTTCAGGTGTCCAATTGTAAAGACAACAGCCAAATTAATAAATCTGGCTTTAGCCCTTTGCCTAAAGTCACCCGAATATCAAGTTAAAAGATAAGTATAACAAAACTTGCATTTTTCAGAAGATATTGCACAAGACTTTTACAGGATATAGGTTTACATAGCAGTGACCACCTAATCCACAGAAGTTCCATACTTCTAGCATTTACCGATGATTATTTAAACAATTGTCAATTGATGATTTGAAAGCAATAACGCAAGATCTGTGGTCATGCCCCTTAGTGATATGCATAAGAAAAACTAAAAAAACATCAGAAGCAAGTTAAGGAATCGTAACTAGCATTTCCATAATAAATACAAACATAACTCGACTTGCAGGGCAGACTTCTGAACTCATTTTGCTTGCTCCTGTCTTATATAACTATCTCATCTCCCAAACTGAATGTCAACAATACACATTTCTGGCGTTATATTTCATGCAATGCTGTCTTATGCACTCAATGGCGGACTTACAGAATATAAAAGTTCTCACCCTGACAATATATTTTCCACTAAAATATACCCACAAAGTGTACTTCACAAAACAGTCTGAAGAAATTTTAGGAATTCATACTAGGTGATTAGCAGTAGAATTCACCTTGCAATTCCGTGGCAACAATGTACAGCAATATATTATTGATTCAGAAATTAGAAAAAACCCAACCAAACTGTTGAGTTGTAACTGTACACATTCATGCTCCCTGTCCCAAACACTGGCTAATCTCACTTCCAAAGCAATATATTAGGAAGCTAAGTTAAGATCGATGCAATAGAATGATCATGCATTTCAAAGCACCCAGTTTAAGTGAAGGATAACAACCTATATGAAAGAAGAGAATGGAAATACACTATTCTTAACCTACAGAGAAATCATACTCCATGCAACTGAAGGGAATAAGCTAAACATTAAAATATTAAGCAAGTCAAAATCACTCAGCTCTTGAAAGAGAGTCACAGATAGTCTGAACAGCAGTTATCATGCAGCTCATATGAAAGGATCTACTGATGATTTTGAGAGCTGACATCTCTTATCCAACTGTCCTCTAACAAATTATAATGCAAGATGAGGAAAATCTCTTGCTCAGCAAATGCCTGAAACTTTGAATGTACTGCCCGAGACCAGGCAGGTCACAGATTCAATGCAGGCTTCAAAAAGGAAACTGGATAATTATTTTACACGTTAAACAATTTGCAGAACTATGGAGAAAAACCAGTGATGTGGGACTAGTGGAGTTGCTTTTGTTGCATAGTGTCCTGGCTTCCTACACTGTTCCTCAAAGAACAAATACTTCACCTTTTGATCATTCACTTCACAGGCTTCTGGTCTCTACACTGAGATCAACAATTGCAGGTCACAACCTTTGCCTCCACTTTAGTTTGAGATTTCTGATTATGTTTTAGATAGCTGGTAATGACTATACTTCTAATTTAACCTTCACCAGCTCCATTTTTGTTTCCATAACTTGCCCCATTCCATTTAGCTTTGCATCATTAACTCTTCTGTTTTTGTTAATTAATCTCTACAGTTTTCTACCCTATCACAGATCTTCCCTTTTGTTGTATTTGCCCTTCCTCTTGCTCTCCATGTATACTCATTTTAAACTATCACATTGCTAACATTTCCAGTTCTGATAAAAGGGCAACATCCCAAACAAATTACTTGTTCCTCCACAGATGCCATCATACATGATAATTTGCAGTATTATTTTTATTTCAGATACCTACCATCCATTATATTTTGATTTTGTTTAAAAACAAATTGTTTCACAAAGTATTTGTTCAGATTCACTAGTTTTTCTGAAAATTGTTGAAAATACAACTGCTCTGTCTTTACAAATTAAGTTTATAGGGCTAAAGAAATATGAAAAAGAGTAGTTTCTTATGACTGCAAAATGGTTCCACAAGCAACAATGTATTCTAGACTATTAGGCCATAAATGCTGAGCTGCCAGAACTCCAGGGAACTGCAATGCAATTTGAATCACAGTGTATTGTAACTCCAGTGTCATGTACCTTTAGACTACTGCAACTATCTACAAACCTAATTGCGATGATCTTGTGGCAGAGTAGGTATCGTCCACATCTCCAAGTCAGAAGCTCTGGGCTCAAGTCAGACTCCAAGACTTGATGGTTAAGGAAGGTGCATTCAAAAGATTAAACAAATCGATTATCAACCTGTAAATCCTTCCAATACACACTGATGAAAGGCAGTAACAGCGGAATGATCTCTTGTCAGCTATGTAATGGTTAGAAAGTTGGAGCATTAACCACTACTATCCATACTTTATTTTTCTGTTTTGATTGTGACTGAAGAAAGAACTGCTTTAGAAACTAAAGATTGCTGAAGGATCACTGCAGTTTGTAAAAGCAAGAAACCTGATATTCATTTGTAAGCAACATTTAAACAACTGCTTATTCATGCTGTTGTTTAAGAGTACTTTGCAGATGAGCTGCAGCTAGCAACAAATAGCTGATTGGTCTGTGGATCAATGACCAGTTATTGATGAAGTAGTCCTTCTGCCTGCCTCAACTCTTCAATTGGGTCTCAAGTGGCTGAACAGCTTGGGGTTTTGAATAAGATAATGAGAAGCTACTAGATCTTTACCAGCTCAGGAGCTCTCTCTGCTCTTTGCAGTAAAAACCACTTTAAGCCTGAAGAAAACCAGTTTATTTTTCCTTCATCAGTTGCTGTAAACTGTGACTTCTATTAGAATCAGAGACCTTTTACAAGTGTGAACCAGTTGCCCTGTGCCTCCTGTAAACAAGTGGAGGCATCTGGAGAAGACGACTGAAAAGCAGCGTTCTGATCAGCACAAGAATCATCACAGCAGATCTTGTGAACAGGGACCACTGGACTACTTTCCCAGTTTTCCCATCACCCATATTTTGTTTCACGTGTGTGCACACACACATGCATGCATTGGGGAAGGGATAGAGGAGGAGGAGGAGACACATAGAAGGGACAGCTTATAATAGGATCAAAGTTATATGTTTATAGTTCACAATTGTTTACCTGTAGCTAAAATCTATTTACCTGTAATAGAGTAATTCTTCTTAAGTATGGAAACCTGGTCATCCTTTGCTAACTTAGATCTCAAAATCAATTAAATAAGGGAACTTTGCCTACTTCTGTAGAACCTTTAACCTTTGTGATGATTCTGAGAATAGTAGGGCTTGATTTCCAGTGCACTACTCCAGTGAGGTGTAACAATGACTTGCCAAAGCAACTTGGGCTCCCAATGATCTACGTAAAACACATAAAACCTAACTGATATTTCACATCTGCAAAACTATGCATTTAAATGTTTTCAAGTTACTCATATCCATCCAGTAATTTATGTAATTAGTTTCACTGAGTCACTTTCTATATTAATACTTCAAGAAAACATCAATGTGCATGATACACTATAGTGCATAATTTGATCAGAATATGCAAATTTGAGACAGCTCTGCATCAACTGGGGTCAATTTTATAATCAGTCTGAGAATTTTCAGTTAGATTTATTACAAAATAAAGAATTATTAGTCCTTTTGGAGTGAAGTTGTGCTGGAGCAATAAGGTCAATTTAGAATTGTAATGCTTTTATGCATTTGTCCCAAAAATTCTGAATGAAACAATCAACAGAGGTGAACCCGCAAAAAGCAAACCGCAACATATTTTCAATATTGGAGTGTCTTTACGTGCTCTAAAAGTTGATAAAATTCAGTTTCAAGGAAGTAATGGTTTTGAATGGTTTTAGTAGTGTCCGGATATAATAAAGAAAATTGATGAAGGCTTAGAATACGTATAGTTTGCAGCTTCAAGGTTTCCTGCTGTGTAAACTCTGCTGTCGGTGTGCACTTACCGTAAAATCAGTTACAGGCTATTTTGAACCTTAACTTCAGAATAAGGATCACACGGAGACTCCATGCACTAGAAATCAAGCCAAGTGACAACAATTTAGCCTTTACCACACACAATGGCCTAGCCTTGCCACTGCCCAAGAGGTTTTCCCAATCCAATAATACTGCCCATTTCTTCTGGGATTTTCTGATCCTTACTAAAGCAGAAACAGGCAGAGCAGCATCTCCAGTGTAAATCCAGCAAGCATAGTAGAATCAGGGGAAGGAAACAGGTTTCATTTTTATGGAAGTAGCTGCTATACTGTGTTAAGTTTTTAAATGTCAAAGTCTACAAATGAATAAGCTTGGGCTAGTGAATGGGTGAGTAAATGGGTCAGTAGCTGTGCTGGATATGTAATGTCAGGTTGAGGGAGTAGATGGGTGTGGGATCATCAGTGACTTGGATAAATGAGTAGTCAGGTGGTTGGAGGGTATTTAGGTCAGATAGTTAAGTATTAGTAGGGTGATCATGGTTATTGCTGGTGGGGGTGAGGGGGTAGTTGGGTTGGGTATCAGATGGTTAGGGGAGTTAGGTCAGGTTAGATAGGGGGATTTTAGACAAATGGTCATCACCTCAGATTGGTGTGCACAGCTGGTCAGGGCATATTAGTCAGGTCAAGGCTGGTAGTAAGAGCATAGCTAATTGCCTGATGTGATGCTCAGACCAGATCTTATACTGTACAACATATCATGGGTAAGTATCCAAGTCTCAAGTAAGTCTTTTATATCTGGCCCAAATCTCCGTTCTAAGTTTAGGGTCAGAGACGTTCACAGAAAGTGGTGGGCAGTAAAACATCAGCCCATCACAAGTTCAAACTTCCCAATACATCTAACATCAAGACTTCTGCATGGTACTGACACGTTTTCCAACATACGTCCAATCTCTGATGATCTCAAGGCCAGAAGATTTGGGTCTTGCTTTCTAACATAACTTTTAATGCAATTGTTAAATCTAGGTTCAACTTTTATTTACTAATAAAAAATAAACAAATAATTGACATTTGCTGGCTTTGTAGAAACATTTAAAGTTATAGTCAGTTAAACAGCACAAATTAAGTAGATGAGTGTTTTATGTCACTGCACATTGAGGAATAGACAAAATCTGTCACAAATAATTTATCAACGTCTCTATCTTCATGTGTGATATATCCTGTCAAGTTCATTTTGTTTTGTCCAAGTGTACGCGAGAGATATCATTCTCATGCACTGTATCGTGAGTACTAGAGCAATCATTTTGCAAGTTAGTAATGCACATAAATCTTGGCTATTATAATTCCACTTTCCGTGTTAAAATGATGTGTTTTTCCTTTAACGTATTGAAATCTTTGTTATTCTCACTTACAGTCAATCTCTTTATGATTAGACTGTGGTTCTCTTTGTTAATATGTGCAGATTTTACAAAAAATTCACAACTTGTATTACCGAATAAATTTTGGAATTATTTTTTCAGGGAACCAGGACGGATGATGTCTGCTCTTAAAACACTGCCTCAGCAACTGCACAGAGTAAGCACAAGATGCCATTACAAGATCACACAAATTGCACATAAATAAACTTTTTATACCAGGTAATGAAATGCTTGGTTCACCAAAAAATTGCCTCAATGCATATTCTGCACTCTTTTGTCCCCAAACTATGGGACAAACAGTGTATTCATGGGTAATGCCATTTTTAATCTAATGCAGTCACTCAACCAAAACTTGCTCATAATACAAAGCACTGCATTAAACTTACTAGCCCCTAGCATAATAGTGATGAATCTTCTGCAACTACTCATTGAGCCCAACACAGAACATCTCACATTTCAAACCAACAACATCTCACATTTCAGACCAAGAACAGAAAATTAACAAATAAAAACCAAATAATAATATACACACAATGCATTACCATTTTTGTTCAGATTCACTGAAAAAGATTAATAACTTTAATTTCTGAACCCAACAACCTTGCCTCCAGGATAATTAAAACCATGTTAATACTGTATGTATGTTAATTATAACCAATTTAGTTAACATTTCATAAAAAGACACTGCATAAATAATTCCAGACTAGACACTAATGATATTACCCGAAAAACTGAAGCAATTTGTATGGACAAATAGTAGGAAACAAAATATTAATTACAAAATTGCCAAAAGAATGTCTAGAACCCAAGTTGTAACTCAATTCAATATAAGAAAAAAATCTATTTATCTCCAGGCTATTGTATCATCTGACAGTAAAGTTTATTTTCATATTTGTAGTTAATAAGAGAAAAAAATAATAGTAATGCTGCAGCTACAATAACTCTTCTGGTACCATGTCATATAGCATTATTTCAACCATTAAAGGGTATCAGATAAATCACAAAAATCTATAGCCATAACGACAAGAAAAATAGGCGCTGACAATTCTGAGATCACAAACAGATTTTTGTGTGCAAACTTATGAATGCAAAATTAATTGACAGTATAAAACAATATTCAGTAATTTGGAGAAAGTTTGTTTGGCAAATGATTTCCAGCCATCAGTCAGCACCAAATATATGTTTCAGAGTCCAGTGAATCGAATGATATATGCATGACAAACTAGTCACATCAAATTACAGTAAGGTTAGAAGAGAAATCTAGGTAATTGAAGCTTAAGGACAAAAATAATCAGGATCTTTCTTTCACATAACATTTTGGAAAATGATGAAACACCAGTTGAAAATATGACTTTTGGTTAGCCATGATACATCCCACAACTAAATAACCTGTCAAAACCTATTAAGTTCACACACTGAAACTTGCCATTGAGACAAGGTATACCAGTGCAAATCAGTATCTTTAGGTTCAACAAATCTTTGGAAAACTGAGATACTATATTTGACATCACAAGAGCCCCTCAATTAATTAATATGTTGTTTCTTTTTATCATGTTATTTGCTGCTAATCATTATCCCACTTGTAGTCAGCAGAAAGCAAAGTGATCCTGAATAAGCAAGCAAACCTCAAATCTACTCTTATGACATTGTTAACTGAAAAAGATTGCAGTTGACAAAATTATTATTCTGGTACAAACTTCCAGAGGTCCAGCCTAGCTGCCCTTGAGAATTTGATGGTAAATTGCCTCTTGAACAACTGAAATCCATTTGCTGTAGGACCCACAACGATGTAAGGGAGGGAGTTCCATGATTCTGGCCTGGTGATATATATGCCTTAAAATGTCTGAACAGTTTAATTTAAAATATCTACATTGAAAGGGCTGTTTTGGTACAGTGGTAATGTCCTTACATCAGGGTCAGGAGACCTGGGTTAAAGTCCGATCTGCCCTAGAGGTATGTAATAATATCTCCGCACAGGTTGATTAGGAATTATCTACAATTTTGAATCACAATTCGATTCTACCTGAACCCATGTACTTTAAATCCAAGTTCTACAAATATAGTGGTTATTTATATTGCAGACTATACATAAACCTATGGCGTGCACAAAAAAAGTATCACACAGGTAAAGATGATTTAACTTGACACTAGCCCAAGCCCACGTAAATGCTCCACACAAATCTCCTGCCAATCTTCATTTACAGTTGTGCTATTATTCCTTTCTCTTTCACGAGCTTACGTTGCACCCAATAGCCATGCTATTCATCTCAACTGCTACCTGAGGTACTAAGTTTCACTTTGGTTAAGAGAGCTTCCCTGAACGACATGTTGAATTTGCATACTTATATATGTTTATTTCCCCAATTGTGATTTTATCCACATGTCAAAACGTTCTAGCCCATCAAATTGTTTCATTATCTTAAAGATTTTGATCAGGTCACAGTTAATTTCTTCTAGCAGAGACTCCTAATATGAGACTAGGACTCTGCCAGTCCTCCAAGTGTAGTCTAAACAAAGTTACACAAGTTAAATAATTTCTCTGCTTTTCCCTTTCCAAATGGACACCAGGGCTTCTTTTTAGAATGATCTCATTAATCAGTCACTACTTTTAGAAATTTATGTATTTACATCATCAGATCACTCCACCCTTTTCTCTTTCTGGAAACTAATTTCCAATGAGCAAATGTCACTCAGAGATAGCTAGAACTGCAGATACTGGAGTCAGAGACAACAAAGTGTGGAACTGGAGGAACACAGGTCAGGCAACATCAAAGGAGTAGGAAAGTCAATGTTTTGGGTCAGGACCCTTCTTCAGAATTGGAGAGGGGGAAGGGAGCTGAGAAATAAACAGAGGGAGGAGGGGTGGGGCTGGGGAAAAGTAGGTCGAGTGGTGATAGGTGGATGCAGGTAGGGGGTAGTGGGGATTGGTCAGTGGGAAGGGTGGGGTGGATAGGTGGGGAAGAAGATGGACAGGTTGTGTCAAGTCAAGGAGGCGGGGATAAGACGGATGCTCGGATGTGAGATAAGGCCATGGGTTGGGAGATTTTAAATCTGATTAATTCTATGTTCAGGTCATTGGGCTGTAGGCTCCTGAGGTGGAATATGAGGTGTTGCTCCTCCAGTTTGCGTCATTGTGGCACTGGAGGAGGCCCAGGATGGACATGTCATCAAGGGAGTGGGAGGGGGAATTAAAATGGCTAGCGACCAGAAGGCATTGCCGATTATCGCGTTCACAGCGCAGATGCTCCACGAAACGGTCCCCGAGTCTGTGCTTGGTCTCACCAATGTAGAGGAGGCCACATCGGGAGCAAAGGATATAGTAGACCAGGTTGGAGGGTGTACAGGTGAGCCCCTGTCAGATATGGAAAGTTTGCTTTGGGCCTTGGATGGAGGTGAGGGGGGAGATGTAGGGGCAGGTGTTGCACTTCCTGCAGTTGCAGGGAAAGGTGCCAGGTGTGGTGGGGTTGGTGGGGAGTGTGGAGCGGATGAGGGAGTTGCCAAGTGAGCAGTCCCGATGAAAGGCAAATAGGGGTGGGGAGGGAAATATCTCTTTGGTCATGGGGTCGGATTGTAGGTGGTGGAAGTGGTGGAGGATGATACGCTGGGTGCAGAGTTTGATGGGGTGGTATGTGAGGACTGGGAGATTCTGTCTTTATTTTTGTTGGGGTGGTCGGGGGGAGGGAGGGAGTTTGAAGGCACAAGTGTGGGAAATGCAAGCAATGCGGTTGAGGGCATTTTTGATCACCGGAGTGGGGGACTTAGCAGTCCTTGAAATAGGTAGTCATCTGAGATGTCCCAGAGTGGAACCCTCCATCTTGGGAGCAGATGCGGTGGAGGCGGAGGAATTGGGAGAATGGGATTGCATTCTTGCGGGAGGGTGGGGGAGGGAAGATATAGTCCAGGTAGTTACGAGAGTCAATGGATTTGAAATAGATTTTGGTGTTCAGGCCGTTACGAGGGATGGAGACAGAGAGGTCCAGGAAGGGGAGGGAGGTATCAGAGATGGTCCAGGTTAATTTGAGTTTAGGGTGAAAGGTGCTAGTAAAGTTGATGAACTGTTCAAGCACCTCATGGCAGCGCCAATACAGTCATCAATGTGACAGAGGAAGAGCTGAGGGACGGTGCCGGTGTAACAGCGGAAGAGAGACTGGACAACTTATCCTACGAAGAGGCAAGCATAGCTCAGACCTGTACGGGTGCCCATAGCCACCCCCTTAGTTTGTAGGGAGAAGTTAAAGGAGAAGTTGTTCAGGGTAAAGACAAGTTCTATTAAGCAGATGAGGGTGTCGATGGAAAGGGAGTGGTTGGACCTGCAAAAGAGGAAGAAGCAGAGGGCTTTGGGGTCATCTGTGTGGGGGATACAAGTGTACAGTGAAGATGAGGATTTGGGGTCCAGGAAATTGGGAGTCTTGGTGAAGGTGGAGGGGATAGGTGGTGTCCCAAACGTAGGTGGGGAGTTCCTGGACCAATCCCCATCACCCCCTCTCTGCATCCACCTATCACCACCCATCCACCCTCTCGCTTCCTTGACTTGACACAACCTGTCCGTCTTCTCTCCCACCTATCCGCCCCACACTTCCCAATGACCAATCCCCACTACTCCCTACCTAAATCCACCTATCACACCATCCCACCTACCTTTCCCCAGCCATACCTATCCTCCCTCTCGCTCCCCAGTTCTGAAGAGTCCTGACCCGAAACATCGACTTTCCTACTCCTCTAATGCTGCCTGATCTGCTGTGTTCCTCCAGCTCTACACTGTGTTGTCTGCAATGAGTATGTGATCTTACTTTTCTTACCAAAATTTATATCAATTCATATTTACGTACACTGACATTCACTGGCCAATTACCCAGCCATTTACAACCTCATGCATTTTGTCAGTCTCTGGTTTTAACTACACCTCCCAATTTGGTGTTATCCATAACTTTGAAATCAGAGAGTACAAATTGTTTCCATAAACAGTAAAGGACAATGGCTCCAGCACCAGTTCTCACCTGAGTGCTCAGTCTGAGCACTAATTTTTAACTTTACCGTACTTTCTCCATTGTGACCAGCTTGTATTCCATTCTCTTGCCTCATGGCTTCACATATTCCTGCTGTACGGGTCAGAAAAGATCTGAAGGGGTTAATATTTGGTTGAGTAATAAATATCACACACTGTGATGAAGACTTGTTGAAAGAGCAAAGGAAAATCTAGGAGATAGACTTAGTACTCCCAACAGTCATTGTAGTTAATAGAGACTATTCATATATACTGTAAATAGTTGCAGAGAAGCTCTACACCTTGTTATCTCAGATTCTCCAGCAGCGGCAGTTCCAACTATCTCTGTAGCAATAAACTACATCTCATTACTTCACAAGTCTCTTTTCATTAGACCATAAAGCGAGTACCCAAGCCCCTAAACAGGCTACACACTTCAAACTCACAGGTCGCAACACAGACATCATGGTGAACAGTGCGGAATCTGAATTAGTTCCAACCAAATAAACATGCTGGTATTCCAGAAGGCAGGAAAAAGATACTGCTGATTGCTGAGAACAGTGAACCCCCAAAAAAAACCTTGTAGCAACGCTCAACAATATCTCAAAGAATAATAAAAAAAATTTCAGACCTGATAAAAGACATGCTGGAACAAAAGAAATCTTTTGCTCCAAGCTAGAGGTATAGTCCGTATTACATAGACAGTCGTCTGTACGAATATTCCATGTTGGAGTTCAAAAAGTCAATGCATCAACAGATTGTATGAGAACTAAAAAGCACTGGTACAAAGGAGAAAGTTTAAACATCACAGTAATTGAAATGGCAAAAACTTAAACATAAGTTGCAGCTCACATCACATGTAATCACTATAGGACATGAGACCAAAAGGCATAGACTTGAACTACCAGGATAAAGAGAAATTCACAATCTTAGAACAGAGAGCTGTGGAAATTGTAAACTCACCATGTCATTTGATGCAACCATGCATTTGGCAATTTAAAAGCAAGCAAGCAATTCTGGTCTGATACACAACATTTTCAGGAGATTCTATTATAGACACTAAAGGCAGGAATCCTTCATCACAGCCTATGAAAGGCAGGAAATCTGGAAAAAGCAGGAATAGTTCAATAGTTGGGAAAGGCAGAAATCCATGTTAGTGTGGTGCAGGAATTCTCCATTACAGCTGCAAAATCACAGGACTCCTCCTGTAAAGTCACATCAAACAGGAAAACCTCTAGAACAATAAAGTATGGGAGGACTGCTAATCTTGCAGAAAAAAATAAGAATAAGATACTAAATAATATTAGGAAGACATGGCATTTGAAAGTTTTTCAAGGAAGATTTAATTTCAGAAATAGGTTAATTAGAATGCAAAATCAGATGTCTTGAACAAAACAGTTCTTGAGGTACAGAATAACTTCTAAACTAGACACTAAGCCAGGAGCTGAACAAATAATTACACTTCTGCACACAACTGCAAGTGTTGCAGATGACGTTATTACTCATCAGAGGTAAAAGAAGCAACAGACACAAAAAAAAAGTGACAGCATTTGACAACTGTTAAAAATTTAATAAAATTCTGTTTGAAAAGGCTTTAATAGATGAATATCATCTAAGAGAATCCAAAGATCATTTTATTAGTTATCTCTATAGACTTATGGAGGAATGCGACTGTGGTGACAACATCAGACTTGACAGGCATACTGATGACTCTGTCAGATTTATTACAATCTGAAGAAGATTTAACTCTAGCAAAAGCTGTTCAGAAAGTGAGTGAAGCACAGATAAACACGACGGGAAAAATGACATAGAAGAAATATTGGAGACAGGGGGAGCAATCAGAGGAATTGGAGAAGAGGAAGGCAGTAACGAAGTGAAAGAGGAGACCCCAAGCGGAATAGGAGAAGGGAAGATGAAGGGGGATGGGATACAGAAAGGGATTCTTCAAGGGAGTTGGGAGGGTTCGAGGCAATGGTGGGGAAGAGAGAACAGATTCAAACCTATCAACAAAAGGAACAGTCAGATAACTAAAAGCGAGGTAAACTTGAAACCACTGAGGTAATGAATTACTTGCAAATGAATGCAGTATCTCTTGCCTAAGGTTGCATAAATTTAGGCGTTATTCGATAGAAAAATCTGTACTGGAAGCTGTTGAAATTAACACTTTACCAATTGTTAAATTTAAACATGAGATTAACATTTGAAATGCACTAGCTGCCTCTTTAAAATATTTCAACTTCATGAATATGCAATGGAAATGCTTTAGCTCTAACCTCACCAGTCTACAGAATGTAGGAAGATGGCTTTTTGTCTGTCAAAAGTATGGGTCAGATCTTTCAAAGACAAGTTTTGCTAATTTATGCCTATTGTCTCATCAATTTAAATACAGTGTTATGTAAGAAATTCATGCTTTTGTGTTTTGATTGGTTTTATATTCAATGGGATCATGAAGTTTTCTAATTCTGCTTCTGTGCAAATCCAAATAATTCAGCACAATGTACAGAAGATAACATTACAGTATATCTGCATGACCTAAAGGAGCTAATATAAACGAAATAGTAGCCCTGAAAAGCTCACAGTTTACAATTTTTCCAAGATTTGTTATCATCTGCAAACTTTGATATTGTCTCTTGTTCATAAAATCACAACGATTTACATATTTCAGGTGAAGGAAGGAGGATCCCAATGCCAAACCCTGAGGAATTCCACTACAAACCTTTTTTCAGGCTAAAAATACGCATTAAAGTTGCTTTACATCACATATCCACATTGCCATTAGCCCTTTTATTCCATGCCCTAAGACTTTCCTCATGTCTGTTGTGTGGCACTATTCCGAGCATCTTTTGGAAGTCTTAGATACACATCAAAAGCTTTGCCCTCTTCAACCCACCAACAACACCAGCAAGTCAGTTAGACATGATTTTTCTTGAACAAATGCATGCTGCCCCAACAGAATTACAATAGAAGTTGAACAGTACAGTGCAGGAACAGGCCCTTTTGCCCAACATGTCTGCGCCAGATGTCATGCTATTCCAAACTAATCCCATCTGTCCAAATATGGTACATATCCCTCTATTCCCTGACAACAAGGTGCAGAGCTGGATGAACACAGCAGGCCAAGCAGCATCATAGGAGCAGAAAG